CAAGTGCTTGAGGTCAGATAATGGAGGAGAATACACAGACGGTGAATTCCTAGCATTCTGCAAGCATGAAGGCATCAAAAGACAATTCAGTACGGCTTATACTCCTCAACAAAATGGAGTGGCGGAGCGGATGAACAGAACTCTGTTGGAAAGAACAAGAGCTATGTTGGCTACTGCAAATCTGGAAAAAGTCTTTTGGGCGGAAGCAGTAAAAACCACCTGTTATGTGGTGAATCGATCTCCATCAACTGCAATACAATTAAAGACGCCGATGGAGATGTGGACTGGCAAGCCAGCTGATTATTCTAACCTCCATATATTTGGATGTCCAGTGTACGTAATGTACAATGCCCAAGAAATTACAAAGCTGGATTCAAAATCCAGAAAATGCATATTCTTGGGGTATGCTGATGGAGTAAAGGGGTATCACTTGTGGGATCCCACTACCTATAAGGTTATCATCAGCATAGATGTTATCTTTGTAGAAAATCAACTACAAAGTGGTGAAAAAGAAAGCAGTTCGAGGAAGGACTCAGAGACTGTAGCTGTTCAGGTAGAAGATAATCCGAATTCTTCTGAAGCGACACCGGAGCATGATGTACAAGAACCAGTCGAGGCCGAGGCTCCAGAAGTTCGAAGGTCAACTCGTGAGAGAAGACCACCGACTTAACACTCGGAGTATATTACGGAGAGTAATGTCGCATACTGTCTTCTAACAGAAGATGAAGAGCCATCAACTTTTCATGAAGCTATAAATGGCACAGATGCATCTTTGTGGATGGCAGCAATGCAGGAAGAAATTGAAGCTCTCCATAAGAACAAGACTTGGGAACTTGTGTCACTGCCACAAGGAAGAAAGACCATTGGAAACAAATGGGTCTACAAGATCAAGCGAAATGGCGATGATCAAGTGGAGCGGTATCGTGCTAGATTGGTGGTAAAAGGATATGCTCAGAAAGAAGGTATTGATTTTAATGAAATATTTTCTCCTGTAGTGCGACTAACAACAGTCCGAATAGTCCTGGCTATGAGCGCTATATTTGACTTACATATAGAGCAGCTAGATGTGAAAACAGCATTTCTTCATGGAGATCTTGAAGAAGAAATTTACATGCTCCAACCAGAAGGTTTTGAAGAAAAAGGAAAAGAGAACTTGGTTTGCAGATTGAACAAATCTCTGTACGGTCTAAAGCAGGCGCCGAGGTGTTGGTATAAGAGATTTGATTCATTCATCATGAGCCTTGGATACAACAGACTTAATTCAGACCCTTGTGCATATTTCAAGAGGTTTGGTGAAAATAACTTTGTTATCTTATTGTTGTATGTTGACGACATGTTGGTTGCAGGCCCCAACAAAGATCGTATCCAAGAATTAAAGGCTCAGTTGGCTAGGGAATTTGAAATGAAGGATTTAGGATCTGCAAACAAGATTCTAGGGATGCAAATTTACCGAGACAGAATTAATAGGAAGATTTGGCTTTCTCAGAAGAACTATTTGAAGAAAATCTTGCGACGCTTTAACATGCAAGATTGTAAGTCAATTTCTACCCCACTTCCTGTTAATTTCAAGTTATCCTCCAGTATGAGTCCTAGCAGTGAAGAAGAGAGGATGGAGATGTCTCGAGTACCGTATGCATCAGCAGTGGGAAGCTTAATGTTCGCGATGATTTGTACAAGACCAGACATTGCACAAGCAGTGGGAGTGGTTAGTCGATACATGGCGAATCCTGGTAAAGAGCATTGGAATGCTGTAAAGAGGGTTCTAAGATACATTCAAGGAACCTCAAATGTTGCATTATGTTATGGGGGATCTGATTTTATTGTCAGTGGATATGTTGATTCTGATTATGCAGGTGATCGTGATAATAGCAAATCCACCACAGGTTATGTGTTTGCACTTGCTGGCGGAGCTGTAAGCTGGGTTTCAAAACTGCAGTCAGTTGTGGCTACTTCAACAACAGAAGCAGAGTATGTAGCAGCTACACAAGCTAGTAAAGAAGCGATGTGGTTGAAGATGGTGCTGGAGGAACTCGGCTATGAACAAAAGAAGATTTCTCTATTTTGTGACAGTCAGAGTGCTTTGCATTTGGTAAGAAATCCAGCCTTTCATTCAAAGACCAAGCACATTCGAGTTCAGTATCACTTTGTTCGTGAGAAAGTGGAAGAAGGAACAGTGGATATGCAGAAAATTCACACCAAGGACAACCTAGCAGATTTTTTGACAAAAGCAGTCAGTACTGACAAATTCATTTGGTGTCGATCCTCTTGTGGTCTGTCAGAGACGTAAGCAACATAAAGATGGCAAGATAGAAAGAATGATGTGAAGATATGATTGATACTCAATCAAATCTTCAAGTGGGAGATTGTCAGGCGCCTATCAACTCCAAAACCCACCGAAAGTGCACAGCCAATGTTGAAAAGGAGAAAGAAAACAAAAGAGCAGGCCCCACTGCTACAGTAAAATATTAATATTTTATTGTGCATAGTGTTTTTCAAAAAACTATAAATAGGGCTCCAAATCCTTAAGGAAATCTCATCCCAGAAACTTCTTCTTATATAGAAGTGTGTGAGAGAAAAAATAGAGAGAGTATCTCCTTAGAAAGAGAGATTGTAACTCCAGAGTTTTCTCCTCATAGTGAATTCTTCTATCCTTGCCCGTGGACGTAGGCAATCAAGTGCCGAACCATGTAAATCTGTGTGTCCAACATTTTATCTCTACTTTTACTTTTCTATTGCTGCGACCCTGCTCTATTGGGCCCCGGGTTTGTCCCAACAATTAATTGGGTGAAGGATTGGGAAAGGAATATCTCCAATATTATTCTTTTGAGAAAAAATAAACAATAAATAATTTTGAAAGCACTGAAGATACGCTATTACCTTATCACCCTTTGAATAAAAAATAAAAAATTATTAGATAAAAGACTATTATTGGTGTACTGAAGCAACCCTTTCAGTTTGCTTTGTGCCTTTAAAAGAAAAAAAGAAAAAGAAAGAAAGGTCTCTTAATTGTCGGCTGTTTTGTTCCTTTCTAAGGAATCAAATATGCATGATTCACTGTTTTGTTCCTTTCTTAATTGGAGCAGCGCAAGTATGTAAGTACTTAAAACAATCTTTACGAGTCTCAATCTGATTTGGGTTTTTCTAACATCAAGGGGCTGTTTGGTTGTATGTTTTTACCATGTAAAAAGATGGAAAGTGTAAAAAAGTGGGTCCCAATGTCAGTTTTCATCACTTTCAATTGTTTGTTTGTAGTTGTGAAAAGTGGGTCCCAATGTCAGTTTTCATCACTTTCAATTGTTTGTTTGTAGTTGTGAAAATAGTGTAAAGTGATTTCATATGCTGATGTGGCTTGTAAAGTGATTTCATAAAAAAAAAGACATGATTTTAGGAGAAAACTAACATTGAAGTCAGAAAATAATAATAAAAAATAATTTCAACCAATATGATTATTTGAGTAGGGACCACCTTTTATACTTTCCAAACAAACAATTAAAGTTACATTTACAAACCAAACAAACAATTTATGATTCCAATAGAATAAAAAAAAAACAAAGAAAAGTATACAAGTAAAATTGATGAGGTGGACAACAACTTTCCATGTTATGTCATAAATATATAATTTTACCAACAACAACCAAACAGCCCCTAACGCAAGGGACATTAATAAATGAAGGGAATTTTTATTTTAACCAAGACTTAAAAGGCAAGAAAAGGGTAGGCGGAGCACGTAAAATTCTCCGTGTAAAGGAGCTAGCAATCAAGCAAAAGTCTAAAAGCAACTCCAAGTTGGCAGATATTTATAAGGAAGATTCCCTTCTTATCATTCTACTGCTCAGAAGGCAAACAAGCTCTGCCCGCAACTGTAAGGTCCACAATCCATGAAAAATTAAGAAAAAAAATAAAAAAAATTGAGGGACCTCCCTAGGAAATCATACATGCAAGAAATTTTGAGCCTCAATTTTAAGATTCATTATTGAGTTGATTTCCTATAGTTTTTTTTTTGCTACATTTGGTATATTATTTTTGCTTTTATAACCCATAATACGGATTTACGGTATGACTTGAGCTGACTTAAAGTTGATAATGAGATATGTTAAATCTTTTCTTACTCGCTTGTATGATTCTCTCTTTTGTCAATTGGGATTTGCTTTAGCACGGTGGCAATATTTCACACTTATTTCTTTCTTTTGTTTTCTCTCTTTTTTTTTTCATGTAAATTCTATTGTGTAATTAACAGTGGCAAGTGACTACATTTTCAGACACGCTTACCACTCTATCTTTGTGGTTAATGCATTGTTATGTTCATTATATCATAATATTTGTTAATTTATCACTACATCTTAGATGTTGAGCTAAAATACTCCTCTCCGTTCTAATACCATTAAAATTTAGGGGAATTTTTTAAAAAGACGGCTTTTGCTAAATAATTAGCGAAATAGACTATTTTGGTAATTATTTAGCAAAATAGACCTCTTTTTTGCTTGTTGGAAAAAAAGATCGATTTAAAAAAAAACAGAATGCTGAAAACATACAGAATTAGTAGTCCCGTATGTTTTCTGTGAGCACTAATCCCCGATCAGTGCACTGAAAACATAAGGGGCTACTAGTCCCGTATGTTTTCAGCTGCCTATTTTTTAAAATCGACATATTTTGACTTGTTGGCCAAAAAAAGATCTATTTTGCTAAATAACTAGCAAAATGATCTATTTTGCTAATTATTTAGCAAAATCGGTTTTTTTTAAAAAAAATTCCCTTAAAATTTACAATAAAAATACTGTCCCTCCCTACAAAGAACTCGGGATTTTCTGCTGGTACACTCCACGTCTATACCATTTGTGGATTTATCCCAAAATATCTGAACATTTGCTAAGTTACCCCACTGAATATTTATAATGTTAAATAAGAGGCGCATAAAAATCTAATGTGGAGAATGTTGTTGTAAACTAACAAATATGCACATTTTGAGGGTAAATCCGAAAATGTGAAGGTGTCGAAAGGGTATGCAGCCAAAAACACAAAAAATCTTTTCTCCAACCACCGTCCTAAAAAATCCTCCAAGTCCAAGCTCCATTTTTTCCTATTTTTGTCCAATCATCAATGAAAATTATCAGACCATTAGCGATGTCGACTCACCTCAAAACCTAGCGATCCTCAGGCTCCGGAGGAGAGCTTCGATCCTCCGTTGCCTTTCTCGGGCTTTTGCGGTAAGTTCTACTACTGTTTACTTGGCAAAAAATTAGGGCTCTAGCGGTAGATTTTACTTGAAATTTGCAAAAATTGGTTCTTTAGTATGGGAGCTGGGGGGGAAAATCGATTTTTTGAGATGGGTAATGCTATATTTGTTAATTGGAATTGTTGATTCATAGTTTATCAATTATGTTGAGCATAATTTAGGTCTCACAATGAATTTTAAAATTGATGTATTTATTCTTTTTGTTGAAATTTCCTATATAATTTGACGTTTTTTTTCTGTATAAGGTTTTGGATTCTGCGTGTACTAGTTTCTGCAGGATTAGACCAGCTTAGGTCGCTTGAATTAGTCTGAATCTTCCCTGCATGAGACTAAGCTTGATAGTTGGGTATGCTTAATATGTAGTTGTGCCCTCTCGAGTTTGATTTCAACTTTTATGGATGATTCTCAAGCTGCCAGCGACACTGAAGAAAATAAGGAGTAAAAAGTAAAGGATTGGTTTGTGTTGCTAGATACAGTAGTCTTTGTTTAAGATATGATGACAAATTCTAAGTTTAGCTCCATAGTTTTGTTTATCTTTAGCCCGTATCTTAAACCCAATCTGTTTTGTAAAGATATCACCGCCTTTCCAGGTGCAATGCTAATTATAGAGCTTGTTAGCAGTATGTGAAGGAAAGAGAGTATCATGGTAAGAAGAAAAGTATAATGTTCATGTTTGCAACGATTTCCGAATTGTGGGTGGCATGCAATAAAGGGCACTTTCCAATGTGGATTTCTAAAAATAAACAGAAACTCATGGTTTTGCTATGCTGGAAATGAACATACTCTCTCTCGTTGTTGGATACCCTACTTTACGATGTTTTGGTTTCTTTCAGACAAATGAAATTGAAAACCTAGGAAGCTAGTACCTAAGTTTTTTTAGGAGCCTAAGTATATACTTCTTAATTTCTAATGGTTTATTTTATGTTTGGTATTCCTTGTAAATCAATGACCATATCATTAAAAAGGTGAACTAGAGCTGTGGCCAATGCCGAGATATGTTCATCAACACTAAAAAGTGAAAAATGTCCCTCCAACTCCTGTTACTAGTCAAGATAGCTTTTGACTATACATTGATGACATCTCATGGATCTTAAACACTTGGGTTAATCCAGTAACTATTATGTTTTTCCGGTGTTATTTTGTGTTTTGGAATATGACTTTTTATAATACTGACATGAATCTCTTGATACTACATTAGATTTTTGCCTTCATAGTTGGAGGATTGTCTTTACTTTTTAAACAAAATAGCTTTCCATCTTTCAATTCTTGGAATTTTATAATATTCACTTTACAGGATGCACCATCTTTCAATTCAGGCTCATCCTTCACCAATATTTTTGAGGACAACATGTCACTATGAACCCATTGAACTTGGTGCCCTATAGGAAGATGAGAAATATAGTGGAAACATTAATAGTTTGCGGAGTGATTGATAAATTTGAAAGGGAACTGTAATTTCATGGATACGAGAAGAGAAGGACTTGGGCCTGCAAGCCAGAAGTTTGTGCAGGTTCCATCGGCTTCTACAAACACCAATGCTAGGGCACCAGAGGCTACTGGGTCTAGTACTGTTAGGCCTGTCCTGAATTTCTCAATTCAGACAGGCGAGGAGTTTGCACTTGAATTCATGAGAGAGAGGGCGATATCCAAGAACCCATCAGCTTCAAATTCATCTGGAGGTCAAAATCATGCCACTGGTTATATGGATTTAAGGGGCATGTTAGGAATTTCTCATGCAGGATCTGAAAGTGGGTCTGATGTTTCAATGCTTATGAGCGGAGATAAATCCCCTTTTAAGGAAATGGAGAAGAGAAACCTCTCTGAAATTGAAAACAAAGGACGATATGCTTCTTCAAGGTCCGCCCCAAGACCATCGTTAGGCATTTCTCATGGCCATTCCTCTTCAGGGGCTTCTGATTCCTCAAAGAAGATGAAAGTCCTCTGCAGTTTTGGTGGTAAAATTTTACCCCGACCAAGCGATTCTAAACTGAGATATGTTGGAGGTGATACACGAATTATTCGTATTAGCAAGGATATCTCCTGGCAAGAGCTCATGCAAAAGACATTAACTGTATATAACCAACCTCACACCATCAAATATCAATTGCCTGGAGAGGATCTTGATGCCTTGGTATCGGTTTCTTGTGATGAAGATCTCCAAAATATGATGGAGGAGTGCAGCTTTCTTGGAGGCGGAGAGGGTTCACAAAAGCTGAGGATGTTTCTCTTTTCTTCAAGTGATTTTGATGAAACCCATTACGGTTTAGGCAGCACCGAGGGAGATTCTGAAGTGCAGTATGTTGTTGCTGTCAATGGGATTGATCAAGCTGTTAGATCTTCAAGTGAGCATGGATTTGCGACCACATCAGCGAGCAATATGGATCAGTTACTTAATCTTAAAGTTGAATTTGACAGAAATGCTTCAAATAGAGCTCCAACAGAGTCAGCTGGAAATCAAACTGCACCCTTTTCTGGCAATTCTGTACCTCCAACAACAGCATCATCACTTCTGCAGGAAAGCTCGTCTAGGGACTGTGATTCCCATTTGAACTTGCACAATAATGTTCAAAATGCAAATAGCAGAATCTCCATCCCTGGATCTGTTCCTTCCGACTATGGCTATAGTTCTCAATATGCACCTCCTGGAGGAACTTCTGCTCCATTGCCACCTAATGATCTACTATTTGCAAACCAAGGTTTTACAGAAGGACTACACGGTACCAGAGTTCATAGTCAAGGGGTGAAGGAATCAAAATCAACGGTCGATAATTCAACGCAGCAAAAAGGTGGAAGTGGAACCGTCCAAACTTTGGGCAATGAATCTACAAAATCCATGCAGAAGCATGATGATTCAGTTTCAAAACATGAGCCTGCAACAGAAACATCTAATGTTGATTCTTATACCGATTATGATTCTGAATTTAATGAAGACGACCAATATGCATCTGGTGGAGTTTTTGATTCAGGATTTTCTGACAGTGATCCAATTTCGCGTCATACAAGAGTCTTTCATTCTGAAAGGATTCCTCGGGAGCAGGCTGCTTTCATGAATCGCTTGTCGAAGTCGGATGATTCTATTGATCCACAGTATCTACTACTTCAGTCACAATCTTGGGCAGCTCGAGAGTCCATTGCTGAAGGTGCTGATCCTTTGGATGAAGGAAATTTGGTTTCTCATAGTGGTAAGTCTTCAGCAGCAAAGCCACCTCTTCCTACTACTTCAACCATTGAGAATGGCTTATACCAGTTCGAGAAAAATAAAGAGTTGGTGAACACAATCACAAAAGCAAAGATGGAGTCTGTTTCAGCTCCAGAAGTATTAGTGGCTGAAAGAACAGAAGGAGCTATGGTGGAGAGCTCAACCATTGATAAAGGATCTGCGTCTAAGCAGCAAGAAAATCCAGCTACAATTCTACCAGAGATTCATTGGGAGGAGTTAACCGTCAAGGTTGCTACTGAACAAGCCTCAGATGGAACCTCTACGCTAGGGAAGAAAGATACTATTGTTGATATCAATGATCGACTTCGTCATGATCTACTCACTGATATTTTTTCAAAGGCTAGATTAGCTGAGGATTCATCAGGTGTGATCCCTCTTCGCAAAGAAGATGCTGGAATCAGTGTGAACATGCAGAATCATCAACCTAAACGCTGGTCTTTCTTCAGAAATTTGGCCCAAGCTGAGTTTACACACAAGGGCATTTCTCTTATGGATCAAGATCACATCAACTCTTCTCCATTGAAGAATGAGGGGTTTGAGTTAGGTCAAATGGATTCACAAATGGAGTTCAATGAGGAGTTGCAGAAAGAGTTATCAGGTGCTATTGTAAAGGGCAAGGGCGGTGAAGGCTTGCAGGTGGAGAATCCTTATCCAGTTGCAGGAGAGAACACACTGACAACTGACTCAGCCTATGAGGTATTTGTCTCATTTGTTTATTAAACCCAAACATACATAATATGTACTATTTCTTTGATGCCTTTAGGAGTTGAAATTTGCTATTGGGGAAGCTGGTCAGTCTGTAGTTGATGCTTCGGTGGGTGACCTAGATCTCAGTGACTTGCAGGTATGCATGCTCTATATCTGCTAAATTGTTGATTTCACTTTTGTTGGGTAGTGTTCTCTTTCTTATTGTAGTTATCAAAACTTTTATATTTCCCAAATGATTGATCTTTTCTGCACATAGAGGCGACCCTTTTTCCATTTGTTTAGGTGTCAGATAGTGTTGTATTGTCAGAATTGTATGTTTTTGAAATATTTCAACGACAGTACTTTGTGGTTAAATACCAAAATCTTATTTGTATGTCTCCATTCTTTTTAAAAACTACTGTTTGAATAATTACTCAGTCATTTTTGATGCATTGAATTGTTTTAACCAAAATAAAACCAGAACAGGCATCTACCAAAAGAAATGGAGAGTGTAGCTCTGCGTTCTGCAGAATCCTGACCATATAAATTAAATGTGCTTCCATGTATGATCTATATTGACTTTTTATTATTTGTATCATATATTTGATGTACATTAATCAAACTGTGGTGTGTTTGCAGACTATTAAAAATGATGATCTTGAGGAGCTTAAAGAATTGGGTTCTGGCACATTTGGAACTGTCTACCATGGGAAATGGAGGGGCAGCGATGTCGCCATTAAGCGAATAAAGAAGAGTTGCTTTACAGGCCGTTCATCTGAGCAAGAGCGACTGGTGTGCTTTTTATTTATGTGAAAGTTCTCATTTTATCTGGTTTAGTTGGTCTCGTAATTGATCTTCTAGATTACAAATCCCAAATGAATTTGTGGACAAATCATTTTTTACCAATTCTTGTCCAAATTGATTTCTTTCCCAGACACTTGAGTTTTGGCGTGAGGCTGAGATTCTTTCAAGGCTTCATCATCCAAATGTGGTTGCTTTCTATGGGGTTGTACAAGATGGACCGGGAGGTACATTAGCAACTGTGACAGAATATATGGTCAATGGTTCCCTGAGACATGTTTTACTACGCAAAGACAAGTATGTTTGCAGCTTGCCCCACAATCTCCCTTCAATTTACATTCTTCGACAAATTTAACACTTTCTTTAAAATGGAGCTGTAGGTACCTAGATCGCCGTAAACGGCTCATAATTGCCATGGATGCAGCATTTGGAATGGAATATTTGCATTCTAAAAACATTGTACATTTTGATTTAAAGTGTGATAACTTGCTTGTGAACCTTAAAGATCAGTCACGACCCATTTGTAAGGTAAATTATAGTTTCATCTAGCCAATGTGTTCCTGGTTTACTGCCTGATCCTTGGTGTAATTATTAATTAAACTTGAGTTTGGCTTCACTCAGGTAGGTGATTTTGGTTTGTCAAAAATTAAGCGAAATACCCTGGTTTCTGGTGGTGTGAGGGGGACATTGCCATGGATGGCTCCAGAATTATTGCATGGGAGCAGCAATAAGGTGTCTGAAAAGGTAGGCTTTACAGTTAAATTTCAGGTTTTTTTGTATTATTGGATATTTATACCTCTTAAATCATGCATATTTGCAATACTATCCCCAAGTCTCAATATTTGCAAAACTAACACCCCCCCAACCCCCCCTCCCCCCAACCCAAAAAAAAAAGAAAAAAGAAAAACAAAGAAAAAGAAATAAAGAAAAAAAAAGAAACCTTCACGCGCACACCCACAAAATCGCTATCCTAATTTGTACGTGCAGTGTGAGATATCAAGAAATCATCAACAAAATAGTCATTTGTTGATTGGGGCTTTTCCCAAAGTTGATGATTTGGGGTAGTCTTACAAATACTGACATTTAGGAGGTAGTTTTGCAAATATGCATAATTTGAGGGGTATTTATACAAAAAACCTTATTTAAAATTTCCTTTTGAAGTTTGAACTCTTCACTGCCGCATAGGTATTGATATTTTAAAAGACTCGAATAATATGTTGCTGATGCCACTTGTTAAAAATGACACTTTACGTATATCAGGTACTAATTTGCAATGTTAATGCAGGTTGATGTATTTTCCTTTGGCATAGTCATGTGGGAAATTCTCACCGGGGAGGAGCCTTATGCCAATATGCATTATGGTGCCATTATAGGTATTCCTACAATCTTAAATTGTTCAATATGATGTTTGGTTTGCTGATCTCATTTTTCTATAGTTGTCTACAGAAATCTCATTTATTGGTAGACCTTTTTATTTCACTTGTTGTGGATAGGCCCCCTTGTTGGGTATCAACTCAAACTCCAAGTTAAAAATTGTGTTTTTGATTCTTTGTATAATTTTATGAGAATTAGATAGGGTTAGAGATCTATCATGATTAGGAGTTTGGATTTCATCATGATTTGGAGTTTGAATCCTATTCTAATTAGGAAGTTAGGCTAGAGATAGAGTTTTGGTTTCCCTATATATATTCTTCTATTGTTCGAGGAAAAACTAAAAGGAGTAGAGAGAAGAAGAGAGGGTTTGACAGTCTTTATCCGTGCAAAAGATTGTAATTTGGAGGTGATAGTGGATTGATTTTATTCCCGTGATTTTTCCCGTTGAGAGTTTTCCACGTTAAATCTCGTGTGATTCTATTTGCTGCGTTTGGTGTTTTTTCGGGGTTTTTACGAGATATAAAATTCTTAACAAGTGGTATCAGAACGGAGTTCGACGGTTCGTGGAGCTTTGACCGGTGCACGATTGGTGAAGGCGTCAGTGGTTGAATCGTGGTGATCGACATTATGGGAAACAAAAAAAAGAAAAGGAAAAAAGAAAGGGTACCGTAGCGGAATACTGTAGCCGAATACTGTAGCATATTGTTGTAGCTATGCGGGAGGCCCGTTCACGTGGGGTTAATCACGTGGCGGAGAAATCCGACGGTGCAGATTGATTTGTCTTTTTATCGAGGTTTTGAAGGCGGATTTTGGTGATCCTGGAGTCGTTCCTAGGGGTTTTTGACGTGCTGAGTTCGTTTTTAACGTTGGTTTTATCAAATTCAATCTCTACAGTGACTGATTTGTGGTTAGAGGATGATGACTTCATCGGGTCCGAAGTTCGATATTTCGCTATTCAACGACAAGATAAATTTTACAGTATGACAGTGCACAGTTTAAGATATTTTTGTGCAGCAGGGTGTTGATCAAGCTTTGAAGGAGAAGAAACCTAAAGGATTGAAGGATGCTGTATGAAGTTCCAAAGAGGGCGGTTAACACAATTCATTTGGCACTCGCCCCCGAGATCAAGTATAATGTTATACAAGAGACCACACCAAGGGGGCTATGGGAAAGGCTTGAGGGGATTTATGCATCGAAGTCGATGACCAACCGATTGTGTTTGAGGATGAAGCTTTATCGGTTAAAAATGGAATAATGTACTGCAATTCAAGTCCACATTAATGCCTTTAATCAACTAGTGTGACAACTTATGAATATTGATGAGGAGATTAAAGAAAAGCAGACGCTACTCCTATTGTCTTTCTTGTCGAAGTCGTACAAACCGTTAGTTTAGACGATAATTGTAGGAAAGCAGACATTGAAGTTCGACGATGTGACAACACTCCTACGTGAGAATGAAAGAATGATGGGAAAGGAGAGCGCATCTAATGGTGGTGAGAGTGCACTAGCTTTTGAAGGTCTAATCGAGGGAGGAGTAAGGGGAGATGTGATAGTTATCGAGGAAGGTCAAAATCTCGGGCCCGAGACGACAGCGAAAAGGAGTGCTATTATTGCGGAGAGAATGGTCATATTTAGTTCAGATGTTCCCAGATGCGTGATGATTTGAAGAGTATTAGACAGATGAAGGTTCAAGAAAATGGGAAGAAGACGAACTTCTCGGTGGTTGTGTGATGAAGATGTGGTGTTGTTGATGCAGAGTACATGTACTGATGCGAGTGGCTCTTGGGTGTTGGATTTTGCAGCATCTATGCACTTTTGCAACAACAAAAATTATTTTAACACATTGAAGACAGATGAAGAATTTAACGACGTGATTGTTGGAAACAACGAGAAGATGAAAGTTGAAGGTGTTGGAAGTGTTCGTCTCAAGCTTCACACTGGGAAGGTCATAATTCTTCATTATGTGAGATATATGCCGTCATTTGGTGCTAATTTAATTTCGTTGGGTGAGATGACATCTCATGAATATAAGTATGTGGGTGAAGGAGAGTGGTGCGAAGTGTATAAAGATGGTGATTTGATTTTACGAGGGAGGAAGAATAGCAATCATATTTGCTATTTAGATGAGCGATCTGTTAATGATGTAGATGACTCTTCTCAGACTCTTGTCCACAAGGGAGAAGTGAACAAGAAGAAGAAGAGAGTGGGTTTTTCTGAAGCCATTGAGACACTTGGAGATTTTTCGTTTAGGGAGGATATGTTGGGTATCAACTCAAACTCCAGGTTAGAATTGTGTTTTTGATTCTTTGTATAACTTTATGAGAATTAGACAGAGTTAGAGATCTATCATGATTAGGAGTTTGAGTTTCATCATGATTAGGAGTTTGAATCATATTCTAATTAGGAAGTTAGGCTAGAAATAGTTTTTGTTTCCCTATATATATTCTTCTATTGTTAGAGGAAAAGCTAAGAAGAGTAGAGAGAAGAAGAGAGAGAGAGTTTGACAGTTTTTGTCCGTGCAAAAGATTGTAATTTGGAGGTGATAGTGGATTGGTTTTAATCCCGTAGTTTTTCCCTGTTGAGGGTTTTTCATGATGCGTTTGGTGGTTTTTCGGGGTTTTTGCGAGATCTAAAAATCCTAACACCCTTGTACTATCACTGAGTTGCGGATAGACCCCCTGAGTGGTTTTTTTTGTGTCTCTTACCCTCAGAAGGTCTATTTCTCAAAGAATAAAATCTTCTCTCTGAGAGTAAAAGAGTAAAAAAAGGTTCACTTATGGGGGTTTATCTGCAACAATAGAACTGTAGGGATTCTATCCAAAATTAGCCCTTCAGCAAAGAGGGTTAAAATTTAAAACTATCTGTTTAGAACTTCGTCATTCAAATTTGGATTTTCATATCTGAATCTGAATTTGGATGCAAATTTTGGGACTTTACATCTCTTAACATCTGACTAGTCACAAATCACAATCCTGTAATACACTTTTCAAGTGGCTAAGATACTTTATCGACACACTCTTAATACAAAATATTTTGTTTTCTGTATGCAGGAGGTATTGTGAATAATACACTGAGGCCGCTTGTGCCAGTGTCGTGCGACCCAGAATGGAGGAGACTGATGGAGCAGTGTTGGGCTCCCGACCCACAACAGCGGCCTACCTTCACTCAGATAGCCAGTCGATTGCGATCCATGTCCGTGGCTATTCAATCTAAAACAAGCAAGTGATGCCTACATTGAGTCCTGTATTTGTTTGTTGATCGTAGCATTTGAGGCTTTGATTTCTTGTGTGTGTGTGTGTTCATTGTTATCGCATAATGTGTATGTATGTGTGTGTGATTAATGTATATTACTGAGAGACAGGGATTTGGTTTCCATTGTTAAATGTGTCAATAATGTGAAAATGTTGATGAGAAGGTGTTATTTATGGAAGGAGGTGGTGATTTATTTCAGCCATTTATAGGGGCTTAGTTATATCCCTTTGTCATTGTGGCTCAGTATGAACATGCTCGATGAGAGAGTAAAGAATTTTCTTAGTAGTTTTGGTTACTGTAGCTATATATCCTTGGTCAAGTGGTAATTATTACAGAATTTGACTTTAGGCATACTTCACCTTGGGGTCTTCCCTTGTTGATAGCTTTATTTGGGCAGGGCTGCTTGCATTCCTATTCAAAAATATGCTTGTTCCAGATGAAGTGGGCCGCTGTGTTAGAAAGTTTTTCTTCAATTATTTCTTGGTCCTTGAAATATTGGGGTCTAAATTGGAAAAAACAGGGTAAACTTCACGAGAAGGATATGTACTATTTTTAATAGAGATATCACAATAACAAACTTTGAACTTTTCTGCCGCTATTTGCTCAAGTGGATTTTTAACGGCTTTGTTGACTCGTCAAAGTAGTTTGTTGATAATATCTGATACTCCCTGCTGATCTAAAAGTTTGTTATGCGCTTTCTAATTATAAATAATTTATTATACTGTGATACATATCACCACTAAGAGATTCTTTTTTTTTCTACCTTAGAAACCACCTTCATTCTATAGAAACCACGACGTTAATTGTTAATTTATACATAAATCAGCTTTAAAGGATATTTTTTTTTGCAATCAGCCACCATGATACGCTTTTCAGTTAAATTTTTGGGTAACTAATTCCACCTAACTTCTATTAAGGACCATCTCTCTAATATATTTGTTATGTTGACAATTAACTATTGTAGGAAAATCGAGAAAACTCGACTCAAAAATGAGTCAAAGATGGTTTATTGCAACAAAAAAAAACTGTTTATAGGCGGCTCATGTATAAATTGATAATTGAAGGTGGTTTTTATAAAATGACCTTATTGTGAAAATATGGTTTCGCCCAATACTTAGTATAGTAGTTACGTGGAAAATTACTTCCTCAAAATAGGAATAAATCTCAAATATGTGCTAATAATATAAAAAACCGCCTAAAAAGAGCTAAGCAGGGAACACCATCGTCACCACACAAGCAACACTCCATGATTGCTGTCTGCATCATTCACTGCAGCTGTTTCCAGATTTAATTAATTTCAATTTAAACCCCAACAATTGACGACTTCTCGTGACCCCTACGTGCCTTCCTGGACCCTTTTGGGCTTAAAAAAGAGGTCAGCACTTTCATCGAATGGCCCGTATCCTAACAGTGGGCCCGTCGCACCATCTCTTTTTAAATCCACAAATACTCACTTGGTTTGTACTTTTCTGCAAAATTCACATGTACTGATAACAAACAATTTACGAAATTGCAACACGCGCTCACTTTCTTCTCCTCCACATGAAATCGGAGATCACTACTCAAAGGGAAGAGCTCACCAGGTTCAAAAACTTCACATTTTTTATGTTTTTTTTTTGTAGTTAATTTGTTAAAATTTGTGATTATTGGATCGAATTCTATCTGATTGAGATGGTGGTTGTAGGCGGTGGGTTGATCTCTTTGCCTCTTCTGTGTACCAGCCTTTGGATTGAGTCGAAATTAGGCGTTTTGGTTTTTGGAAACTGTGCCCTAATTCCTTTCTGGGTTCTATTACTGAGGTCTGGATATTAAGTGGGTAACTGTCAGTTTTCCTTGTAGTGGGCTTGATAACCGTAGTCATTTGAATTGGGAGTTTCATTTTGTAGTTCTTAAGAAAATTTGAGGTTCAATTTGATCTAGATAACTGTCTTCAAGGGGAATTTGATATGATTTGGGCTCGGTATTGGTAGCTTTGAATAGGATTATGGGTGCGTTTGATGCGCACTGTTCGACTCCCCGTGGTGTTATTGATGAGAGATGGGGCTGGGTTTTCATGGAAGTTACATATGTATTCAACAAGGTCATCTAGAGGAGTGATTAGGTTTCGTCGATTTAGTTGAGTGGTTTATCAGGTGCAAGTTGTCATTTCGATTGAAAAGGGGATATTTTGGTGTGAAGAATATAGTAGGTTATATATTTTGGTAAGGGAAACTTAGGGAAGTCGACAAGGTTCGATTTTTGTTGGGTTACAAATCAGATGACTGATTCAGTATGATTGGGGTTATGAGAGCCTTTTGTCGATGGAACCACCTGACAAGAGGTTCTCAGAGTTCGTTGGCGTAGTGAAATCTTGGATTCCTCGGAGGTCTGAACCGTCAAATGTGTCAAGAGACTTTTGGATGCCAGATCAAAGCTGCAGGGTTTGTTATGAATGTGATTCACAGTTCACAGTCTTCAACCGTAGGCACCACTGTCGCCTTTGTGGTCGTGTGTTTTGTGCCAAGTGTACTTCAAACTCTGTTCCGGTTTCGTCTAATCATGCAACAACGAGTTTGGGAGAAATTGGGGAGAGGATTCGTGTTTGCAACTATTGCTTTAAGCAATGGGAGCAAGAGTTAGCAGCTGATGATAGTGGTAACCAGATGTCCAGTCCAGTACTTTGCTCTTCTCCTTCAACAGCAAGTTTGGCTAGTACCAAGTCTACTTGTACCATTAATAGCAGTACGATGACTGCTGGGTCTATGTCGCACTCTACTGGAGCAGGTCCATACGCCATTTATGATTCTGGTCCAGTTGGCAGTCAGCCAATAGAAATGGAGAGTGGCACTGATAAACAAGACAGGCTGCCTAAAGTAGATTCAGTTGTGGATTTGGGAGATCCTTCTCCTAATCAATACGGATTTTGCATGAACAGGTATGCTGATGGATTGACTGCTTATGGAGGTGTTTGACTCTTTTCCCCATTTATATTTACCAGGATTTCAATTAGAAGCACCTGGTGCTAGATGTACAGATGCTTGATAGTTTGTTAGTTGACTATCATCGTTTTCTATTCACATTTCCTTTATTCATCAACAAGGGTCCATGCCGTCTTTTATTTCTCCAATCTGATTCTTGCTTTTGCTTATGTCTTGCTTAAATTATTTTCTGATTAAGAACCTTTGGCATTACTGTTGGTATGTTTTAAAATTGAATGCAACTTACTCATCTCAATTTCACATTATCTATGATAAAAAGAGAAGTATTAGAGCAGGAAGGCCTTTATGGTGTGAAATTTCTATATGCTCATACATGCATCAATAAGGAGGCTGCATAACATACATGGGGCTGAGTATAGCAGGGGTGGGTTTGTGCCTCTCATATTGACCATCCTAAGGAACAGGCCTGAGCTGATTTTACTTCTTGTTCTCACCTCCGTTTCAACAGTTTTTGCATATCACTCCATTACAAGAAAGCCAAACACCGTCTCTAGCTTTCTCAAAAAATTTGTTTGTTCCCCTTTGAAAGTTTTTTCCCACCCTCATCTTCTTTCGTTCTCTCTATCACATAAGGGGAGGCATGCATACAACTTGTCAACCCACCATGCGTGCTATTTCCCTTTCTTCTTACTATCTCTTCAAGTCATGTTATTCATCATCATGGTGAGCTTGATGGGCTTGATGGCATTATTGTCGTCCAAGCCTTTTTCCATCAATGTAGGGTGAGCTATGGAGAAAAAAAAACATCAATAGAAACTTGAAAATTTCTCATGCAAACCTGACATCAGCTTTCTTTGTGCTGAATTTCTGGCCAAACAACCTAGGAACAAGAGAGGGGCATCCTAGAAAATGCAAAAGGAAAGGTTTTTCTTGGTTGGAAAACTGTCTTATTTTTCTATGTAGTTTAAGCTTGTGGAGACATGGAGCAAGCTTCCAAAAAGTTCTCGTAGAATAAGAAACAACCTGTTCCTATCCTTGCCATATGGTAATATTTCCAGTAAAAACCTAAGGACCTGTACAGTTACGGGAAATTGGATTTCCTTGATTTGGTTAAAATTTAGTGTTTGGTTTGAATGGAATGAATGATTCATAGTTCCATGAGGAATCGACGTCGGCCAGTTTTCCGCTAGAAAGTTAAGGATTTGAATTCCAATCGGGTATCGAATGTGAGTAGTTGTACATGCCATTGTTAGTGTCGAGCGCAAATACATCAGAATTTCACAGATTGAGACAAACGAAGTGAGTCGGAATCACATTTTCTTGGTTCTTAATTTTTGTTAATTGATAGAAGTACCAATTACGTGGATGTCATAAACTTATGGCAGAGGTTGGTGGCTTTGGGTGTTTAACCTCTATCCGAATAACCAACACATTTTCCTTTTGTGGGACTATTATGCATATAATTATCGAAATATCAAAAGATATAAGTACCATTCTATGTTGCATGAGCAGTTTTTTTTGGAGTTGTACTTGTGTCGTATCCGTATTCAATATCGAATAAAGGACACAATCCAGACTTGACCTCAAATACCACAATCCATCGCCCCACTTTACTAACATACACTAGTACAACATAGGGCATTGGTGACGGGGTAATCCGTCACCAATGCCCTCCATCACCAATAAATCCATCACCAATGTTCATTGGTGATGGATTGGTCCGTCACCAATGATCATTAGCGATGAGTATTTATTGGTGAAGGGGTAGGTTTGACGATGAACAATGATCATCACCAATTGGCGACAGACGTTGTCCATCGCCAATGCCAATTAGCGAGGGGTGACGGCTCCTAGTTCGCCGCTAATAGTCATTGGCAATGGTTGCCATTGGTGACATGTGACTATTGGCGACGTTGCCATTGATGACAGGTGTACTCGTTGCCAATATGCATTGGTGATGAGCTAACCCGTCACCAATGTATATATACCCCTAAAAAATTTTGTTTCTGGTAGCCCCCCTATACGGGAACACACATATAAGAACCTGTATCCAATTATCCATACATCAATCCAATCACAATATTCAATAATACATATCCAACAATTAGCCACAATACATATTCACATTCAAAATATTCATCTACCAATCCAATCATATTATCCAACAATACTCATCCAATAATCCAACCACAATACATCTCCATACTCAAACAATATTCATCCACAAAGCAATAAAATTACAAATATAATACATATAGATAAAATTCAAAAGTCATAATGTGTCTAACACAATCCAGAAGTACATAAATGTAAAAACAAGTCTAACTCCTTATCATTGTCATTGTCGTCGTCCCTATTATTGGCAGCGGCTGCATTAGAATGCTGTATCGTACTGCTGCTCTCTACGGGAGTACATTCTCTAACCTAAAAAATGCAAGTCAACATAAGAATATGGTTCACAAAATTCGTAATAAATACATATATGTTATGTCATATATACCTCTCCACCATCAATAACTCCATGCTTCGCAAACGCCAACTTAGTGATAGCCACATATGTAGGCTGGGGAAGAAGCTTCTTTAAGGCTCATGATTGATGACGCGCTGCACAACATTCCAGGTCGATTGTGCACCCCCTAACTCACGCGTAATAGTGGAAAGACATTAAAAAGCCAATAAGGGTTCAAGATTGTCCAATGAGTACTATTCGATTTTACTCGTAATGTATGATGTCTCACATGGTCACTTCAAGGTTACTGACGGTTCGCTAGCTTTAGTCTTGTTGGTGGAGAATGCCCTAGCTCTAGCACTTGATAAGGACATTAGACACTCTTCTTTTCTTGTTTGGTCTAGAATCGTAAGCTCCATCAATAACTTCACTCCACTGCTTTCTAATCATGCGGGTAGCATTCACATGGGTATCCTCTATGCCCTGAGACCGGAGGGTTTAGGATAAGACAGTCTTGTGAAGCTTTTATCGCCGCCTGAATATCGTATATTGTATAGCAATAAAAAAAAATATAAATTAGCAACTCTAATGAGAAATCATTTAGTATTTGCAAATGTGAAATTAAACTTATACTTACATGCATATCATTAATCTTCTCCACCTATTTATCCTGATCGTAGTTCTTAGGTAGCATACAAGCTTTTCTAGCAAGAAGGGTTAGCGGTATATCCTGTGATAATATCAAATTCCAAATTAATTTGAGCAATGTATGAAATTAGTCACATGAATTAAGTTTTAATAATTTGATATACCGGGTTCTCACTCAAAAACTTATGCTCGATTCGTGCGTAGGGAGTGGCTCCTAGAAAGTGATTGTATAGCTTTGAATTGCGATTCTCCGATGCCGTCAAATGTTTTCCCTTCAAGATGAAGTACTTTTTTGGTATGTGCGGTGTTAATATAATGAATTAAAAATAGCTCACATTCTTCTCACCCTTCCACTCATCACACTCGATAATGAGAATTATCCAATTATATGGGGGAAGCCTCTTATCAAGCTCCTAGCTCTTCCAATCAACGTTTATATTTGTTAAGTGTTTTTTCTTGGGTTTATTCCTCCACCCTCGAATCATTTTGCTCACTCTAGGCATTATATAATCCCAGTAGTTCGGGTTTTGCTCAAGACAATAATGATCTTGCAAATTACATGTAAAAAAATATACACTATAAGAATAATCAAATAAATAGTCATTGAAAGAAGCAATATAATAAATAGTTACTATGAGCCTTTGCCAAATTTTCTTTATGCCATTCCATTCATGTTCTTCAAAATTATGAGCGGTGTTTTCTAGTATGCTATTCTCTTCATCTGGAATTACCTTGCATAGTAAATTAAGAAGCATTTGAAAATATTTATCTGTCATTCCGCCGAGGGTCTTAATATGCATCAGTTGAAGAATAAATGACAATCTACTATACCCTGTGCAGTTGTCGTACAAATCCTTCTCATCATGTTCCCATAACTTCATTAAAATTTTAAAGCCCACACACATCTTCGACATTTTCGACACTTTTTGCATCTTCAAGAACTTCGAAAACCTTCGGTACTTTTGCAACTTCGGCAACTTCTACAACTACTGTAATATCATTGAGCATTGCCTGCGTATCGTCTATCCTCATGTTTGTTTTTCTGTCAACTGGTTCAATATCTTCGCCTTCTTTGTGAAATTTTTAATATTTGTACTTTTCATCAAATCCCTATCTTTCTAAATGTTTTCGTATAGCAAATCTATCCACTAAACCCTTATTTCTGCACATGTTACATGGACAACACGACAAATTGTTGTCTAACTTCTTTGGATTCGCATACGCGTACTTTAGGGAGGCTTCACATCCTTCTCAATATCGAGTGTCAGCTCCCGCTCTTTTTTCATAATAGGAATATCAACCCACGGCTTGTCAGGATCTTCTCTCATCTATATGTTAGTTACAATTATTAATTATTTTAATATCTCATAAATCATCTTAAGTTCGATAGTCTTTATTGTAGTTGATTTGAACAAATACTAAGTAGGTGAAATTATTCTTTTATAATGATCATTGTTGTACTAAATTGGACTAAACACTCTGTGAGTATCTTCATTGTCTTAATTTGAACAAATACTAGGTTGGTCTAAAACTCTCTCGACTATCATAGGAAGGCTTCTATCCCATTAAGAATATAGTAGTGTTTACATGTAACTTTGAATACTTTATACATTTTTGTTTCTAAAAAATTTCGACAGCACCTACCTGCTGTTCTCCAAGTACACTGTGCGAACGCTTTTATGCGTATCGGTAACAAATCAAAATCAGTAAGTAATAGACCGAAATGTATAACAACATATTCTTATTGTATACAGAAAATGACGAGTACGTGCGACCACAATTTTCTAGAAATGAAAACTGCACAAAGTATGCAAAGTGAGATGTACACACTATTATATTCCTAACCCGTCCGAACTAGACTGATCCAATAGTTACGTGCTAATTCTTTCTACTTATAATATAAACGATTCTTTTTGGTATAGAATTAAATTTGATACCCAAAATTGAGCCGTCTATCTTATTATAAGTCCAAAAAATTAGCAGTAATTATTGGACGGGAATCTACGACTATCATTAACTATTTTTCTATTCTTCTATAATGGATATATCACATTATTGTGTTATGTTTCACACTACTGAAATATTTTAAAAATATAAATGTTTGATTAATTCACATATTTTAGGGGATTAGGTTCTTGGTGTTATTCTTTCATTTATATTATGTGTAAAATTAATAATGGCAATTATTCGGAAAATTACTACTTTTGGGATATTAGTAAGGTATATTACTATTTTCTTTTAAGGTTTTAGTTGTCATTGGGGTTAAAATTTGGGTAATTAAGTTTTGGGTAATAATCGTCGAATAGTTTTTAAATTATAAAATAACTAATTGTCTAAAAATTACAAGAATTAAAAAAAAAATAGAAAATCACTTGAAATTTGGATATAACATCAGATATGAATTATTTCCCCCAAATTGGATGGAAAAGGACCACCTAAAGCCCTAAAATCCGAGAAAAAAAGATTAAAATATAGCTGATTTTAGTAAAAATAACAAAAGCAAAAAAAGAAGAAGGGATTTTAATAGAAATATGGTTACTTAGAATTAGGAGTGGCGGGCGGTGGCGAATGTGTAGCGCG